AATTTCGGGAAAGTAGATGTTGGACGCTATACTGATGTTGGCACACGGTATGTGGATGTTGGGCAGAGGGTCTGAGCTGAGAATTCATTAGAGTGGTGTAAGCGATGGGTACAGATCATGTACAAAGTCCTCTCTGGGCCCTCTAGGTACAAAGTGAGCACGTCACCCCTCACCAAACAACTCCCTACCCTGATCCTGTTCCAAGGTGGCAAGGAGGTAATTCGACGGCCACAGATTGACAAGAAAGGACGAGCTGTCTCTTGGACCTTTTCTGAGGTACATGAAAAGAATGGACAATGATTTGGGAAAGGATATACAACAGTGAATGGGCTTTATTCTTAATCTGGGTTTAATTCTGAATTCTGCCACTTGCCCACTGTTTTTGAGGGTGTGGACTAGTTGCTAGATGTCACCTAGTAAGTCACTCAGCAGATTTACTATATGCTTGCTGCTAATACTGAGGAAAACCATAAATAAGATTGGGTCAGTGAGGTGCCTGTAATTTGTAGGCAATTAGGTTTCTTTTCAGTAAATTGGAGGCAGTAGCACCTGGCTCATAGGATTGCTTTACAGTTGCATGTAGGTACAATTCTTGGCACAAAAACTGGCCTCTAATGAATACTTAACTACCAATGAAAAGTTAGGTTGGGGCAGATTCTGCCTGATTCCTCTGGTTTCTAGACTGTGCTTAGTTAAATACTTCCTGCTGCCAAGCTCTGAACTTTACCTTCCCACCTGGTTCCTGATGTGTTCCTCTCTGCATAGGAGAATGTGATTCGAGAATTCAATTTGAATGAGCTGTACCAACGAGCAAAGAAGCTGTCAAAGGGTGGAGACAATGTGTCGGAAGAGAAGCCTGTGGCCTCTGCTCCGGCTGCTGTGCCAGATGGGGAAAACAAGAAGGACAAATAGGATCCCGCATTGTTCTTGCTTCTTCTGTCAATTTCTGGCACTTCTGAGGCCCAATTCCAGCTGTAACCACAATCCCTGCCTGAGGCTGTGGCCGTTTGTTTTCTCCTATTTGGCTGTGCCTGGGTTGGGGCAGGGTGCCTGCTTCTGATTTCTGAAGAAGTGCGCGCCCAGGGAACCGTGAAGCATTCATTCCATGGAAGGGCTTTTCTGCCCTGGCCAAGGGTTTCTCCCAGGGAGTGAGCTCATGAATAGAGGTAGAAATGGTATCCCTCCAAGGTTGGGTCAGCCTGTAAACTGCTATTCAATGCTTGGATACCACCAGTCTGTGGTTTCTTTATGCCTCCTAGTGAGCCTGCAAAACACAGACTAAACTAAACTCTAATATTAGATGTCAGAGAATAAAGCACTACACATTTTTCCTTAAGGACCCTTTCTTCCTTAGGCCTTTCTGGCGTGATCTGTGGCATTCATTAAGGTAGTTAAGCTTAAGGGACTGGAGAAATGGCTCAGTGGTTAAGAGCACTGGCTATTGTCCCAGAGGACCCTCTGGATTCCTAACAGCCCCACGGGGGGGCTGAACCTGTCTGCAACTCTGGTCCCAAGCAGTCCAGCCTCATCTGGCCTTGGCTGGCACCGTATGCATGTGGTGCACACACATACATGAAGACAAAACACCCAAAGGGGTGGGTATGATGTAATTTAATCCTCAAGTGTCACTGATCCAATGAAAAGCCTTCAACCAGAATTTTCATCCTGGGAAACAAACGCTAGAAACTGGGAAGGGCAATTTCAACTTGAGAGGTTCTTTTGTGTGGCATGGTGGACTGGAAGAAGAATTTTCATCCTGGGAAACAAACGCTGGAAACTGGGAAGGGCAATTTCAACTTGAGAGGTTCTTTTGTGTGGCATGGTGGGCTGGAATAAGAAAGCCCCAGGCTGGGCCGCTGTTTCCTCCTGTTGGCCACGCAGCTTTCCCTAATAAAGGGATTGTTATTTTGATTGCCTTGGTGTTTCTCCTTTATTAGAAAGTGAGCAGCTGCGAGTTCAAGACCAGCCTGAACTACCAATCGAGTTCCAGGACACCCTCCAAAGCCACAGAGAAGCCCTGTCTCGAAAAACCAAAAAACCAAAAAAAAAAAAAAAAAAAAGAAAGCAGCTGCAAAGAAACTGCCCCGTTTTTTTTTTTGGTTGTTGTTGTTACTTGTTTTTGTTTTGGATATTCAACTCAGAATTTTTTTTATAAACCAAACACCTCTAGACCCTAATCTTTATTTTTTTTTAAGCTTGCAGGTGAGGGTCTTGATCTGTTGGAGAGAGTAACCATTAAATCACCATTCTCTTGATTCACCTAATTATAACTGGGCTGGGGTTCAAAGTCCATTTAACTTCAAAGACCTTACTTTTTTGTTTCACCACGTGAGGACGTGGATCTCCAAGTTCTGTACGACTTAGCCCGTTTCTGTAGTCTGTACAAATGGCACAGAAATGCGGTGTAAGCTTCACTTGGAATTGGTATATAGATCCCAGTGTAGGAGGTACAGAAAGCCCCTAGCCGAAAAGGACACAGAGAGGGGGAGAGGTGTGTGTGTGTGTGTGTGTGTGTGTGTGTGTGTGTGTGTGTGTGTGTGTGTGGTGGGGGTTGAGGTCCTCTAGGTACAGGGTGGTTTGGTGTGTGTGTGTGTGTTGAGGTCCTCTAGGTAGGGGTGTGTGTGTGTGTGTGTGTGTGTGTGTGTGTGTGTGTGTGTGTGTGTGTGTGTGTGTGGTGGGGGTTGAGGTCCTCTAGGTACAGGGTGGTTTGGTGTGTGTGTGTGTGTTGAGGTCCTCTAGGTAGGGGTGTGTGTGTGTGTGTGTGTGTGTGTGTGTGTGTGTGTGTGTGTGTGTGTGTGTGTGTGGTGGGGGTTGAGGTCCTCTAGGTACAGGGTGGTTTGGTGTGTGTGTGTGTGTTGAGGTCCTCTAGGTAGGGGTGTGTGTGTGTGTGTGTGTGTGTGTGTGTGTGTGTGTGTGTGTGTGTGTGTGTGTGTGTGTGTGTGTGTGTGTGTGTGTGTGTGTGTGTGTGTGTGTGTGTGTGTGTGTGTGTTGAGGTCCTCTAGGTACAGGGTGGTTTGATCCAGTCCTCCGCACCCCCACCTCTCTTCTGATAGGCTGGGTGGTTGTGTTTGAAGGTCCCGCCTTCGGGTCACGTGGGCGCCGCCAGCCGCGCTTCTTTTGCTCGGGGCTTGAATTTGTTAACTGCGATTCTGGGCTGCGAGCTTGTTCCTGGGATTGCGTCCTGCCTTATTTTACCAACGCCTCATCACCACATTGTCTCGGCCACCGGAGGTCCGTACCATGGCTCCTAGCGGAAGAAAGCGGAAGGCCGCGCCGGGAGAGACAGTGGACAAGCGCGAGAAACTGGCGGAGGGCCCGGCGGTGGTCATTGAGCACTGGTGCGGAGCCCGGGAGTCGCGGGGGGCGGGGAAGCGTAGGCATGGCTGCTGGGACCTAAGGCCCCGTCTGCAATCCCTTGCGTCCGCAGCACGAGCTGACGCGTGTACGGGCGCCATGCTGCTGCCCTGAGCCAGGCTCTGCAGCTGGAGGCCCCAGAGCTGCCTGTGCAGGTGAACCCATCCAAGCCGCGGAGGGGCAGCTTCGAGGTGACGCTTCTGCGCCCGGACAACAGCCGTGAGTGGAGGCTGCGCTGGGGGTAGGGGCGAGAAACGAAACCCAGGCACGTTATGTCTGAGGGGATGGGGTGGCAGTGAATGCCACCATAATTGAGCTTTATCCGATCCCTTTCCAGGTGCCGAACTCTGGACTGGTATTAAGAAGGGCCCGCCACGAAAGCTAAAATTTCCTGAGCCTCAAGAGGTGGTTAAAGAGTTGAAGAAGTACCTTTCATAAGGACGTTGGGCAGGGAGTCTCCATGCTGAGGTTTGCATCATGACACAGGGATACATACACATTGGGGTCGACGGTGAAAGTCTCATTACTATTACAACGTATCTCACGTGGGTTTTTTTTTTTTTTTTTTTTTTTTGGTTTTTCAAGACAGGGTTTCTCTGTGGCTTTGGAGGCTGTCCTGGAACTAGCTCTTGTAGACCAGGCTGGCCTCGGACTCACAGAGATCCGCCTCCCTCTGCCTACCGAGTGCTGGGATTAAAGGCGTGCGTCACCACCGCCCGGCTCACGTGGGATTCTTTAAGGAATTAAATTGTAGAATTCCTGCTGGTTAAACCCCCCCTCCCCAAAGTCTTGCCCTACAGGTATAAGCAAGTTTTGCATTTGTTTACTATTTCCGTTTCCCACCTCTGGAGACTATTTTAATTACATGAGTCTTGCAAATATTCCTGGTTCAACAAAGTGTGACTTGTTTCTGTAGTTAAAAATTTTCTCACTTGTATCTTTGCTGTTACTTAACTTTACCTGCACTTTTCTGGTTTTTGCTAGTAGTCTGTGATAAGGTGGCATTACACCCCTCACCCCCATTATTGTATTTGATTATCTGTAGTGCTTCACACAGTGCTTTGGTATGTTTTCCGAACTTGCATGTTGAGCGAGTTTTGCGTGGCTAACCACAGGTGGGGGTGGGCATGTCTCTATTGGTCCTTGATTGCCTGGAACCCTATTCTGATGTTCCCTTCTCTATTTGCAGCTTTCATTCCCTGGAGATGTTGAAGCATTTATGATAGTGCATGGCCAAACCTAAGCTATGTACCTGAAGCCAGTTTCTTCCTCACCAGAAATGATGGTTCAGTTGTGAGGCAGCTTCCCAACAGGGCATTGTAAAAGTGTTTGAATTGGTTTAATAAAAGTTGAAGTATCTGAGAGTAAGGGTCAATTTTAAATTTTGTCTTAGAGGATGGACACAACCAGCCTTGTTGGTCTTTGTATCTTTCATAGTGCAGTTAACTTTTATGTGGAAATTGTAGGGTCTGTGGTAAAATGTGAAACACTTATAAAAACATGGATATTGCTGGGTTTGGTGGTATATGCCTGCAAGCTCAGCACTTGGGAGGCTGACAAGAAGATTGGGAATTCATAGCCAAGCTGATCTACAAGACCAGATTGTTTTTATAAAACAAAACAAAAAACCCAGAGACAAAGTAAATCTTTTTTTAAAGCAACTACTTTTAATCTACTTCTTGGAAGTGGTTATGGAAATAACATCTTCCAGGCCCCTGTGGAAGTTTTTCTAGACTTCTCATACTGGCAGTGAGTAAGCCCCATAGGCTGGGCTTAGTGGCACAGACCTATAACACCAGCTCCAGGAGGCTGAGGCAGGAGTCAAAGTTCAGTGCCAGCCTGGGCAATTTTAAGAGATTCCACTCTCATCCAGTGTTCCACCTTAACATAGTTTCATTCCTTTGCAAACAATCTTTAAATAGAACCCAACCACAAACAGTGTTCTAAGTTTTCCTGAGTTTTCAATGACTATCAGGTCTTAACTATTCCTATATCTTAACTAGAGTTGGGGACCACAATTATTTTGTCACTGAAAAATGGATTACAAAGAAATAGCTCAAGTTCATAATTTTCTATTCATGGTATTGCCATTTGACTTCTGCCTGGTGCACAAACCTCAGTAGGGGATCAGTGCTGAGAGGAGACGTGCTTGCTTTTCTGCTAAGAAAGCCTTTTGCTGATCAACAGTTGTCACCCTCCTAGAAGCTCTAACCTGCCCTCCCCTCCACTATGTTAGTATATCTACCTCTGTTTCTGACTCTGAGGAAGGGTCGGGCCAGACAGAGGGAACACTAGTGGGCCCTAGCTTACCTTCCATTGTCAAGTCTACCACATCAATCTCTTCATCTTCAGAACTGCCAGGAAATGGGTCCAGCAGTTCAGGGTTAGCAGACACTTCCCTAACTGCCTTGGGAGCAGGATACAATACTTCATTCATGCCTAGAGATACTTCCAGCCCCGTCTCTGCCCAGTTTGAGCACGGAAGTGAGATATCCCTATAAGACCTTTGGGAAGAGTCAGGGGAGTCAAGGTGGAGAAGTTTTTCTCCCTGACCATCCAGTGGCTGGGAGCTGGTAATTTCGAGGTCTGCAGGCCAAGAGCTTCTCAGTGAAAGTGCCTCTCTACTCATCTCAGAGGGCATGACAAGGGGGCTAAGGTGCTCAATTGATTCTGTGTTTTCAGAGCGCAAGACAAGGGGACTAAAGGGTTCAACTGGCTCTTTGTTCTCACCAACAGGTTCCTTTTCCAATCCTGTTAGGTCTCTGGGCCAGAGTTCCAAGTCTGGCAAACACCATTCTTCCCCTTCAATCCAATTCTTTCCTGTTTCTGACAGGTGATAACTCGGGGTTCTACAGCCTTCTGCCCCAGGACTCTGCAAAGATCCTACTGGTGGCTCAACATCTGAGCCACAAAGCATGAAGTCCAAAATCTCTTCCAGCTCACTGGTGGCTGCAGCACTTGTGATTCGATACTGCTCAGCTTCACAGGGCTGGCCTAGCAGGGTTGTGTCAAATGTGTAAGGTTCTCTGCAGTCAATGTTCAACACAGGTTCCTTCCCCATCAGCATTGGACTGGATCCAAACTCTGACTTTGCCACAGGGTGGTCTGGGGAGTGGCTAGCGGAAAGCAAAATGTCTTGTAGCCTAGGGCTCTCTGGGGAGTCCTGACCCAGTTGTAATCTAGCAGGTGTTTCCTGCTCATTGACTGGGGACAACAAAGTCCCTGGAGGCTCTTCTACACCTGAGGGTTCTAGGATCTGGGGGCTATCTTGAGTGTTTCTGAGGGGAGGCTCCTGTACCACCTCCCAGCAGGTACCATTGACAATCTTCCTAAGTTTTACTCTCCCAACCTGCCCCTCCTCCACAGAGTTGGAGGTGACTGCTCTGAATTCAGGGCTCTGCTTCTTGCTCCCACCCGTCTTCCTAACATCGGGTGGGTCTGGAGTGCTCTGTGGAGGTCTGACTTCCCCTGGCTTCTGCTTGTCCACGCCCTGTGCTGCTTTACTTACACTTCTCTGCCTCCAAAGACGCCGGCCAGGGGCTGTGGGCACTGGACTGGGACCACTTAAAACGCTGGAAGGCTTAGATGTACAGACATGGGGTGATGGTTTTGAGCGACTCAGCCTGATCTTTCTGGGCAACAGTTGCTCATCCACAGAAGAAGGGTACAAGCTGGGAGGGGAAAGTGCTGTAGGACCTAGAGCAGGGTCACTCTTGTTCGCCTTAGACCCCTCTCTCTGGCTTGATGGAGATGAGCTTCTTTCTTGAGTCAAGCAAACCCTGGCTTTCTTCTTGAAGAGAAGGGTGTCTGATAAGCTATCTACATTTGGTAAATTGCTCTTTTTGTGAGGTCCCTCTTCTTCCCCTAAGGACTTCAACCTCACTGCTCCAAGAGGACTAGGAGTCTGGGCGACAGGCAGTGGAGTTCGAGGGCGGCGGCTGGGTGCTACCACTCTGGCAGAGATTGGTGGTTGTAAGCACTCTCTGTTTAGTCTTCGGCCCTGGGGAGCCTTTACTAACTTCCCACCTTCTAGCTGAAGAGTTTCCAGCTCAGATACTCGGAGCTGACGGGCAGCAGAAAGCACATCCTGGGCTTCTTCCTGAGATACTTCCATCTCTGAAGTATACAGGAAATCCACCAGCTTCCTAAGTGTCCTGATCTTTAGGCCTCCCAGCTCCAGCACCACCTTCCGACCCTGAACTGGCCTCTCCCGCTCCAGGCGTTCTGTGAAGAAGGGACTACAGGCAGACAGGATGCAGCAGTGGGCTGGGACAGCCTCACCTGGAGGGAAAGCACTCTTGTTAAGCTTTTTCTTTATTTCTTTTCATCTGTTTTAGTCCCAATAACAACAAAAATCATTAATTTGAAGAAAAACAAAAACAAAAAACAGTATCATCAGCTAGGGCTTTAAAAACTTTGTCCAAGCCAGATTTGGTAGTACATGCCTATAACCTCAGACCTTGGATAGAAACATCAGGAGTTAAGTCATTCTCAAGACCAGTATGAGCTATAGGTGAGATTGTTTTGTTTTCTTTTCCTTTTGGTTTTTCTTTTTTTGGGGGGGGGTTTCGAGACAGGGTTTTTCTGTGGTTTTGGAGGCTGTCCTGGAACTCGCTTGGTAGTCCAGGCTGGTCTCGAACTCACAGAGATCCGCCTGCCTCTGCCTCCCGAGTGCTGGGATTAAAGGCGTGCACCACCAACGCCCGGCCTCCTTTTGGTTTTTCAAGACAGACTTTCTCTGTGTAGTTCTAGCTGTCCTGGAATTTGCACTATAGACCAGGATGACCTCAAACCCACAGAAATCTGCCTGCCTCTGCTCCCAAGTGCTGGGATTAAAGGTATGAGCTATCACCTAGAAAGAAATCTTGTTTTCAAAAGACCCAACCAAACAAAAAAAGCCTTCCTAAGTGCTTGACACATCTTAAACCTTTGCAATTATCCCATTAACATATTTTGTGCATTTCCAGTTTGTTTTTCTTTGCTTATTTTCAGACAGGGTCTGGTTATATAGCCCACACTTGGCTCAAATTCATGATCCATTTGAGGACAGTGATTAAAAATTGTACACTCTAGTTTCTTTGTGTGTGTGCATGCATATTCCTGAGAGACTGATGTGCTCTTGCTATTGTATCATGTGGAAGAGGACAACTTAAAGTGTCAGTCCCCACCTTTCACTTTCTTTAACACAGAGTCTCTCTGTTGCCCTCCATAATGCCAGGCTAGCTGGTCTATAAGCTTTCCAGGATTTTCATGCCTCTGCCTTCCATCTAGGCAAAGGAGTACTGAGATTGGAGGTGTGCAGAACTGTACTGGCTTTACCTGGGGTCTGAGGATTCAAACTCAGGTCCTTTACATTTGCATAGTAATCTCCCTAACCCCTAGAGTTCCTTTATATATACTCATTTAGGATGTGTGTAGGCTAGAAGTTGACTGTCTACCTTATCTTTTGAGAAAGGGTCTCTCATTGAACCTGGACCTCACCAATTGGCTAGACTTGCTGGCCAACAAACCCCAGGGATCCTTCTGTTTCCAAATCCCCAGCACTGGGATTACAGGAACATATCAATATTCTCAGTTTTTTATATGAGTGCTGACTTTTTATATAGGTGCCAGCAATCCAAACTTAGATCTTCATGTTTACAAGACAAGCGCTTTACCAATTGAGCCATCTCCCTAGCTCCCATTTATTTGTGTACAATATGTGTATTTGTGAGCACAGGTACATGCATGTGTACTATAGTATGCATATAGGTCAGAGAACAACCTTGGATGTTTGTCCTCACTTTCTACTTTCTTTGATACAGGGTCTGTTTCTACCTGTCCTCTATGCTAAGCTAACTGTCCTTTGAATTTTCAGGGTTCTCCTGTCTTCTGCTTTCCATCTCCTTGTATAGGGGCAGGAATTGCAGACAGTTGCACTATGTGTCTAGGTTTTAGGAATTTGAGTTCAGGTCCTTATGCTTGGACATCTAGCACTTTTATTCAATAAGCAATCTCACCACCCTCTTTAGTTATTCTGAAGCTGGATATCATGTGACCTAGGTTGACTTAAATCCTTATGTAGTAAAGGATGACCTGAACTTCTGATCATCCTACTTCTACAGGCATGTACTACTATGCCTGGTGTAATCTGTGCTGGGGATTGAACCTAGGGCTTCATGAAAACTAGGCTAACACTCTATCAACTGAGTTATATGCCCATGCCCAACTTTTTTTTAGATTATGTATTCTATGTGTATGGTGTTTTTTTGGTTTTTTTTTTTTTTTTTTTGCTTTCATTGATGCCTGATGCATTAGCTCTCTTGGAACTGGATAACCTCTAAGCTGGGTGCTGGGAACTGAACCAAGGTCATCTGCAAAACCAGCACACGTACTTTTAACTAATGAGCCATTTCTCCAAGCAACACCCACTCCTGTTGTTGCTTGGCTTTCTTTTCTCTTTTTTGACAGGGTTTTTCTATATAGCCCTGGGTTTTCCCTCTGGCCTTGAACTCAGAAATTTGCACGCCTCCATCTCATGAATGTTGGGATTAAAGGCATGTGCCAACAGGTTGTTTGCTGTTGTTTGGTTTTGTTTTTGAGAATGGGTCTGGGCAGCATTCCCATGGCATAGAGAATGTAAAGACCCCTAGCAGCCGACCTAGTCTACAGACCTGAGTTCATCCTTGAAACTCACATGAGGAAAAGAGAAAACTGACCCCTGAAAGTTGTTTTCTGACCTTCACTTGTAGGCCACAGCACACTTCCTAGCTCCCAAATAAATAAGTGTGTGTGTGTGTGTGTGTGTGTGTGTGTGTGTGTGTGAGACAGAGTGTAGTCTGTCAGGAGTAGCACGCATGAGTATGCCTCACTCTGTAACCTGGCTGTCCTTGAATTGGTGATCCTTTAACTTCCTAGTTTTACTTTTTAAATCCAGATTTCTGCATGAGTATTTTGTTCACATGTATATATATGTACCACCTGTGTGCCTGTTGCTAATGGGAGTTATAGATGATTGTAAGCCAACATGTGGGTACAAAAGCAACAAATGTTCCTAGCCAACGAGTTATCTCTCTCTAGACCCATTCTAGTTTAATTTTAGGGGGGGAAAAGTAACACTTCAACTCTTTAAATTTTTACTTATTACTATGTGCTTTACCTGCATATATACATCTGTGTGCCACATGTATGGGAACCAGGGTCCTCTGGAAGAGCAGTCAGTGCTCTTAGCCATATGCTGTCTTTCCAGCCCCCAACAATTTTATTCCTGAGGACAGTTTTAGAGGGGCTGGGGATATAGTTTATTCGGTAGAGTGCTTGCCTGGCACACACAAAAACCACAGGATTGATCCTCAGCTCTGCATCAAATTAGGATGGTGGTAAATTTAAGAAACAGGAAAATTAGAAGTTCAAGGTCTTTTTCAGCTATATAGAGTTTGATAAAAGCCTAGGCTGAATGACTTCCTGTCTCAAAAAACAAAAATAAGACTAATCCTAAACCAGGTGTGGCAAGGCAGAGGCAAGTTCTAGATCCCTATGAGTTCCAGGCCAGACTGGTCTACATAGGCCTGGTCTACATAGCAGGTTCTACATGGCTACATAGTGAGACCCTATTCAATAAAACAAACACCAACAGCCATCAACAACAACCCATCCCCTCCCAAAAGTAATTATTCTGGAAACAAAAAGCTTTTCAAAGAGTTTACAGTATTTATAGGTAAGAACATTCCTAAGGGTTTACTGTTTACCTCTGGCCTTAAATTCATTTTACCTTCTTCTATAATGACTTTTCCTTTATTTTCTTACCCTCTGCCTGCAGAAGGGCATCACAAAACACACCGCTCTGCTGCTGGTGATGAAGCTGCAGAAAAGCTACCCGGAGGAACCGGGGATTCCTGTATAGGATTTTGGAACTGGCAGGAGAGCACATGTTGTATTTGATTAATAAACCTAGGTTTTCTCGTTCAGATTCCTGTGGGTGAGATAATATATTTCAGAGGTATGATTATACCCAATTTATTTTATTTTATTTTATTTTTTTGGTTTTTCGAGACAGGGTTTCTCTGTATTGTCTTGGAAGCTGTCCTGGAACTCGCTTTGTAGACCAGGCTGGCCTCGAACTCAGAGATCCACCCGTCTCTGCCTCCCCCAATTTATTTTTTGTCTTTGAAATGGGAAAGTGAGAGAGAGTGAGTTGAAGAAACATTATCTGAGAAGTTATACTGAGGATTATCTCAAGAAAGACTACTATGACAGTGGTTGCATGTAAAAGCTCCCAGATAAGCCTACATTTTAAATTTGGCTCTGTTCTTAACTAGACTAGCTGTATAATATCATGCAGGTGACCTAACTTCTCAGAGACTCACTTTTCTCAGGCACAAAATGGAAATAACAGTACTTACCTTTTGTAGGGCTTTAAAAAATATTTAAACAAGGCAGGCAATGGTGGAGCATGTCTATAATTCCAGTTCTTGGGAGGCAGAGGTAGTATGATCAGGAATTCAATGACATCCATCCTCCCATATATAACTAGTTTAAGACCAGCCTAGGCTATATGAGACCCTGTCTAAAACACAACAAAACAAATGAGGGCATGGTGGTAAGTGTCTGTGATAGAAACAACTGAGAGGAAAAGGTGGAGGACTGTGAATATGAGGCCAGCCTGGGCTGCACAGGAAGACTCTGACTTAAACAAGTCGATACAGGCAAATTGTTTAGTATGGAGTACCCACCAAAAAATAATTATCTTCTCCGAATACCAGCTATTGTTATACTTCAGTCTTTCTCATTCACATTAGCACTGAGACCTAACTCCTATAGTGCCAACTACCCACATTCTTCTTGTACACCAACCAGGTATCCGCATATTTTCAAGCTCACGCTTTCAAGACCATACTGCTAGCTATAAAACTGACTCCGGCAGGCCAGATGCACCTTGCTTTAAGCTCGCTTATCATACCAACCAGCAGAGGGCGCACAACCCAGAAAAGACAGGATTTGGAAGAACTTGTGTATCAATAAGACCACTGCTGACTGATCAAAGTGAACCAGAATAATCTCGTCAGTTTGTAAAAATACGGACTTTGTGAGCCTGGTTAATTGCATGGGTAGCAGTAGAGCAAGGAGGGGTAAGCATTTGACCCTTCCCCACCCAAATAAAATGAGAATTCTGACTTAAATTTCTGGGGGGGGGGGCAGGACCACTTCCTCATCCCCACTCACTGCACAGCGGTGTGTTCTTTTTCTGGTGCAATCACGGCGTTTTCTGTCAGGTAGCCCTGAAGAGTCCAAATAGTTCACGTCAAAACTATTAGAAAAAAAAAAAGTAGATAAGAAAGAGAAGTATCAGCTGGGCTTGGTGACCCCACTTCTGTAATCCTAGCTATAACTCAGGAGGCCAAGGCAGGAATAATGTTTCAGACCAGCATGGGCAATTTAGTGAAAACTTCGTTCTCAAAATGGAATTATTTTTTTTAAAGATTTATTTATTTATTATGCATACGGTGTTCTGTCTGCATGTATCCCTGCATGCCAGAAGAGGGCACGAGATCTCATTACAGACGGTTGTGAGCCACCATGTGGTTGCTGGGAATTGAACTCAGCACCCCTGGAAGAGCAGTCAGTGCTCTTAACTGCTGAGCCATCTCTCCAGCCCTCAAAATAGAATTTTAAAAGGACTAAGGGTGGCCAGGCGTTGGTGGCGCAGGCCTTTAATCCTCAGCACTCGGGAGGCAGAGGAGGCAGATCTCTGTGAGTTCGAGGCCAGCCTGGTCTACAGAGCGAGTTCCATGACAGCCTCCAAAGCCACAGAGAAACCCTGTCTTGAAACCGCTCCCCGGCGCCCCCCACCCCAAAGGGACTGATGGTATAACTCAGGGGTAGAACTCTTGCCTGGCAAGTGTGAGTCCTTATACTGAGAATGGAGCCTGCAGGGGGGGGGGGACACAACTAATTCTTAGCCTAGCAAAGGAAGCGTGGATGAACAAGGTACCTGTTGCAAAACACCAATGCCTAGCCTTGTGCTCAGGCCCAGCCTGGAGTCGTCCTGGCAGCGGGTTTGCTCCTGTTGTCCAGCTGCCTCCTAATGTCCAGGCTTGGCTGCGCAAAGCAGCGCGGGTGGGCCAACCGCCTCTGCGATTCCCCTCCTAGTCCAAAGACAAGGGACCGGGGCTTAGCGGGGAGGCGTCACACGAGGCAGGCCCTGCAAAGCAGGTCACACCCCCGCACGCTCTGGACCCCAGGGCCCAACTCCTCTGAGGAGGGACACTCGGCGCGAGGGTTTCTGGGAACGGGGCATGGAGCTAGTGGAGGCCCGAAATCGGGGCTGACCCTCACGGACACCGCTGGCTTTGTCCACACGAGTTTTGCAGTCTCTCCCTGGCGCCCGCGGGCCTCCCGGGCCTCCAGCACCCACATGCACTGGGCAGTGCTGACGACGAGGGCCTGAGGCCACGCGGCCCGGGCTACACACCGCGCGCTGCCATCCTCGCGCTCCGGGCGGGCGGGCGTCGAGAGCTCCGACGACTTCCTTCCTCAGCCCGGCGCTGCCTACGTGCGCCGGAATACGTCATCCCCATTGGACGGCCGCGCCCCGGGACAGCCAATCAGAGGAGGAGGAGTGCTTTGGCGGGAAGCGAGGTCTCGAGGGAGTTGCCGCTGGCGGGAGACAGACGCCCGGGCTGTGTGAGGGAGAGGTAGGCGCTGCGCGGGCGGGATCCTTCTGGAATCGGCCTTGTCCCGGAACACACGCACAGTGGGCAGGGCCAGGACTTCCTGTTTAGGTAAAGCGCCTCCAGTGCAGTTGAGGTACAAGTCTTTGTTCTCCTTGAACGGCTGCAAATAACCTTGGCCCTGCCGAGATCAGCTCAGGGTTCTTTTTTGTTATTGTTGTTTTTCGAGACAGGGTTTCTCTGTGGCTTTGGAGGCTGTCCTGGAACTCACTCTGTAGCCCAGCCCGGCCTCGAACTCACTGAGATCCACCTGCCTCTGCCTCCCGCGCGCTGGGATTAAAGGCATGCGCCACCACCGCCCGGCTAGGCTTCATTTATGAGGGAAAAAATATTGCATGTTTTTGCTTGCAATGTTGCCAATCAAGATAGATATTTTCTAAGACTAGAGAAGTTCAGGAAAAAAAAGATAACTGAACTGGTTTCTGACACCACACACACACACACACACACACACACACACACACACACACACCCTCCCATGGATTCCATTCCAAAACTGAATCTATAGACGTGGTGACCCAAGGGAGTTGTGGGAACACCTCCTTGTGGTGACTTCCTGTAGCCTTCTATAGACCATTTATTTAGCTCAGTTGCTGACTAAAAAATAGCTGGTTTCAGGGGAGGTATAAGAAAGAATGATTTTGGGCTGGAGAGGTGGCCCAGAGGTTAAGAGCACTGACTGCTCTTCCAGAGGTTCTGAGTTCAATTCCCAGCAACCACATGGTGGCTCACAGCCATCTACAATTCAATCTGGTGCCCTCTTCCGGCATATATGCAGAACACTGTATTTGTAATAAAAAATAATCTTAAAAATAAAGAAAGAATGATTTCAGCTGTGGGGTTGTTAATCCCAGCACTCAGGAGGCAGAGGCAGGCTGATCTCTGTGAGTTCGAGGCCAGCCTGGTCTACAAGAGCTAGTTCCAGAACAGTCTCCATGAGCCACAGAGAAACCCTGTCTCCAAAAACAAAAACAAACGGAAGAATGATTTCGAGCTTGAAAAAAAAATTACAGAGAATGAGGCCCAGGAATGGTTACCTTTAATCTTGGAAGGCAGGGAAAGTTGATCAGTGTGAATTCAAGGCCAGCCTGGTCTACAGAGTGAGTTCCAGGACAGCCAGGACTTGTTACACAGAGAAACCCTGTCTCAAAAAAACAAAACAAAACAAAACAAAACCCAAAAAACAAAAACAAACCAAAAAAAAAAACCAACCCAACAAACAAAAAAATACAAACAACAACAAAAAAAACAACAAAAACACAAAAAGTCAATCTATACTATAAATCTATAAAGCACCTCTTTACCAATATGCATTAGGATGGATGACTGGCCCTCAGTAGATACTTGATGATACCCTGCTTTGGGTAAAAATGGCCAAATTCAAAGCTACTGATTGCAAAGTGTGCTGAAGGAAATGAAGTAGCCAAGAGGATGCAGAAAAACGACCTGCAGAAACACAATGTATTGGGTGAGAAAGACAGTGTGTTCAAATGTGTCTTCAGGATCGGGGGCATCCTGTGTAACTTAATGGTGTTTTGCTAACACGTAGGAAGACCTGGGTTCTGTTTTCTTTCTCCTTAAAAAAATTATTTATTTATATTTCATGTATGAGTATTCTGCATGTATCCCTGCGTGCCAGAAGAGGGCATCAGATCCTAATATAGATGGTTGTGAACCACCATGTGGTTGCTGGGAATTGAACTCAGAACCTCTGGAAGAGCATCTTCTGAGCCATCTCTCCAGCCCCCCCCCTTTTTTCCCTCCTTTTCTTTTCTTTTTTTTCTTTAAGAAAAGAATTTGAGCTGGTTGTAGTGGTTCACACCTTTATTCTAGCTCTCAGAAGTCAGAGACAGGTGCATCTCTGTGAGTTCGAAGCCAGCAGGATCCACAGAGAGAGCTCCAGGACAGCCAGGGCTGTTACACAGAGGAACCCTGTCTTGAAAATTAGAAAAAAAAGACAAGGATTTGAAGCAGTTCAGCACATTTCCAAGTAGGTCATATTTCCCTTAGTTTGGATTCTGCTTCAAGGATGAAAAAAGAAACAAGAAGCAGGACATTTTCAGTTGCAGTTGTCAAGGTTTGGAGAGGAAGCAGTTTGTGAAAAGACTTACAGCTTAGCTGCAAGACAGATTCCAGATATTGTTAGTAGCAGCAGCAGAGAGACAAGTAAGCAAGGGAAAACAAAAACTATAAGTGGGAACAATACCTTTTTATGGCATCTGTGACTGTAGAATTAAGACTTGATTGAGCAGGTACAATACCATTATGACTTACTGTGGAGGTGTAAGGAAAATGTTTTATCCCCTTGGTTGGCTTGTTTTTTTTTTTCTTTAATCAAGTACTGTTTTGGTAGTAAAATGTATTTTTCCCTCCCTCCCTCCCTTCCTCTCTCTCTTGACAGGGTTTCTCTATGTAACAGCTCTGGCTGTTCTGGAACCTGATACTAAGAGCAGGTTGGCCTAACTCACAGAGATACACTTGTCTCTGAGATTAAAGGTATGTGCCATCACACCGGCTTGTAGTAGTAAAATTTGTAAAGGGAATGATACATGACCGTCCTACCTAGGGCTTCAAAAATGACTAACTCGGAGTACATAGCCACCAGAGGGTAGAAACAAAAATATTTTGTTTTTCCTTATACAGATAACCAGTGTTTTGAAAGATGAATTTTTTTTTCATTTCATCATGCCATTTATAGTTTGGTCTATTTTAGAACTGGAATCAAAGCTTTGGTATGGTGGCATACACTGCTAATCTCAGGAGAACTGAGATAGAGGACAGCTTGAGCTGTCTCGAAAAAAGGAGAAGGAGGAAAGAGAAAGAGGAAGTAGAAGGAGGGAAAAGAAAGGAGGATGAGAAAAGTCCTGATGATAAGGGACTAGAGCTCTGACTCAGTAGAGTGCCTAGTTAGCACATGTGAAGTCCTGGGTTTCATTCCTAGTGCCCTGGAAGCGTTGGGGGAGATGGCACCACACTAGTAATCCAGCACTTGGGAGATGGAGGCAGAAGGACCAGAGCTCAAGTTCATCCTTAGCTACACAGGCAGCATGAGACCACTGCATCTATATGAAACCCTGTCTTAAAACCCTAAAATAATAACAATAATGAATTTGCCTGGTAAGACCATTTGGCAGGTAAGGATGCTTGCTGCTCAGCTTGCTGACCTGAGCTTCATCCCAGGGACCCACGTGGTAGAAAAAGAGAACAGACTCTGGAAAGTTGCCCTCTGACCTCTGCTGGCACACCATTCATAAATAAATAAATGTAATAGATTTAAAAATGAATAAAAACAACTAGACTTATTATAATTGCACAGCACTCTATCCTATACCCGATGTGCTGATTTTAATATTTCTTCCTTTTGCTGCTAAGTATTGAAACGCAGGCCTTCTTTCTATATGCCAAGGATGTACTTTAATGTGCTAAGCTATTTAAATCTCAGGCTCAACTGAATTCTCTTTTTACCTAAAAAACAAAACAAAACAGGATCTCATAATATTGACTAGGCCTGCGTCAAATTTGCAATCCTCTAACCATAGCTTCCCTAGTAGGCTTGGTTATAGGTGTTCACCACCAAGCCCAGCAAAGTCTGACTAAAAAACCAAAATGACTTTTATGTCTAGTTTTTTCTTACAACAGATTTGTCTATGTGATGGGTGTGATGTGTGCTCACGCAAAGGCTAGAGAAGGCTATCCAGTGTTGTGCTCTAGCATTCTCTTCTTACTTATGTCTGTGAGCCGGGGGCCGGGCTGGTGACCAGCAAACTCCAGTGATCCTCTCGGCTCTGTTCTCTCACCCGTGGTCATGCATATGACCATGTCTGACTTTTTACATAGGTGCTGGCATCTGAATTCAGGTTCTCATATCTGAGCAGCAAGGGACCTGTAATCCACTGAGCCATCTCTCCAGTGAGAGATAGTTATTTCCATTTTACAGTAAGGAAACAGGTTCAGAAATTATATGATTTGGTCAGGGTCTCATAGTGGTGTAAGCATTGAGCTAGTGTACTTGTACAGGAGTAGTTGGAAGCCAGCAGCTTGACTGACTGCAGTCTCCTTTTTTTTAGCTATTGTATCACCATTTTAGATTATGAAAGCTTTATGAAGATTCTTTTTTTTTTTGTAGTAGCCAGTAGGAATATACACCTACTATTCCAGCAATCAGGAGGCACAGGTAGGGGCATCTCTGTCAGTTCAAGGCCAGCCTGGTATACACATCAAGAATTCCAGGACAGCCATAATTACATAGCGAGACCCTGTCTCAAAAAATAAAATAAAAATAAATAAGACTGACAAGAGGTCTTAGTGGGTAAAAGCCTTGCTGCCAAGCCTTATGACGTAAGTTTGATCCCCCTGGACCCACATAGATGAAGGAGAGACGGAATTCCTGTAAATTGTTCCCTGACCTGAACATGAGTGCTGTGGTACATGTGTACCTATGCACATATGCAAACACACAGATACACACAAATACATTTAATTTAAAAAATATGAAAAGAAACTTTCCAATTTATCATCTTTGTTTAGTAATTAGTGAGTAACTGATACTAGTCCTACCAGGTGGTAATATGCCAGCATTTCCATCACTGAGAAGGCAGAGGCTGAGGGATTTTGAGTTTGAGGCCAGCCAGTGGTCCAGTGAGACCCTGTCTCAAACAAAACAAAGCAGCAATAAGCAAAACCCCTTTCCCTTCTAAATCTTAAATTTAGAGGAAAATCCCGGTAATGTTTTATTTAGGTCAAATAAAAAAGCCAGGTAATTTTGAGTTCACAAATAATCCCTTAATTATTTTAACTATATTCTTATCTATTCTAAACTTTTTGTTTACTGGATTCTGTCTATTGTCCCAGGCAAACCCACATTTTTTGATGGAAAGACAGTGGTTTCCCTCAACAGCTCTATGGATTCTGCTTCCTTTTAGTTTAGAGCAGAGAGGCTAACAAGCTAGTAATAAGACTAAGCATTTATTTTTCCTCATTAACGCTAATGCAATTAAATCAAAACAATGAAATTCAGAGTTTGCCTGAGATATTTCCTACCATCCCAATCAACACAGTCCTGTTTCTGGGATTTCTCTCTCCTTCCTTCCTGGCTTCCATTAGGACATGCTTTGGGGAAGAAAGCAAGAAACCAAACAGCAGCAGGCAAATAAAGTAAGCTCTTTTCTGTTTACCCACCCTGATAGGTAGGAAAAGGGAGCAAGACCCTCATCAAAGAGAACTGAGGCTTAGGCGTGCCGTTCTAAAAAGCTTTGTTATTTAGCACCTCCCACCTCCCCCTGAGCTCTGCAGTAATTCCTCGGAGATTGTATAGTCTCCGCTTTAAATATAAATATATATATAATATATATAAAACTTCCTTGTCTTTCTCTCCTCTCTCTCTTTTTTTTTCATTTCCTATAATAAAGTTTCCTATTGGATAAGGTCAGCTCCCTGATTTATGCCTAGCTCCTATTGGAAGCTTGCAGGGGCTGACATCACTTAGGAAAGCTAGGGTAGGGCTGCCAGATCAGTTTGTCACCACCCAGGCTCCCTTGCCTTTGGCTGGGTGCAACTTCCATTTTAGGTGTTGGATCTGAGGGGAAAGAGAGAGAGAGGAGAGAGAGAGAGAGAGAGAGAGAGAGAGAGAGAGAGAGAGAGAGAGAGAGAGAGAGAGAGAGAGAGAGAGAGAGAGAGAGAGAGAGAGAGGGAGAGAGAGGGAGAGAGAGAGAGAGAGAGGGAGAGAGCGCAGGAGGAAGGGAGGGAGACAGACAGAGACAGACACGGAGGGAGAGGGAAAGAGGCTGGAAGGATCCTGAAACGAGGAAGAGAAAGAGGTGGCCTGAACCTCGCTGGATTGTCTTTCTCAGCACACTGGTGAAGCTTTGGGTTTGTGTCTTAAAGGATTCGCTTCAGAAGTCCACAATTTGAGGTGTGTGCTCTTTTCATTTTTTCCTTTTATAAAAATGTGTGTGTAACTAGTTGGGAAAAGGATAATCCAAGTTGAATTTTTGTCTTAATGGTAACTGGAGGGAATTTAAAAAAGGTAAGAGAGACTGTTAATGCTGACGGTGAATTTTAACCAATTATTTTTTCTACTTTTAATGCTTTAGATGTATTTTGGTATTTTATTTATTTTAAGGAAAAGGTAAATGTACTAGACCTTATACCGGAAGCTGGTTTAGAACTGGGGGTAGAAGTTGTGTAAATTACATTTTTGTGTGTACTTTTATTGAATTTTATTTTATTTTTCTGGGTTAAGCTAATGTACTTCTGTTTTCCGAGCTCAGAAAGTTGTTTTTTTTTTTTTTTTTTTTTTGGCATGTTGTGTGTGGGTTGGGAAAGGAATTTGTCCTGGTCGGGAGAAAGTTGTACAGATGGCTCTTACCATGTTTCAAAACTTTCAGCTCCCTCACCTTCGAATTTGTGGCAGTGGAAAGTTGCAGGGAGCTTTAGAGCTTATATAGTATTTATTGTTTTTTTTCCTCCTGAGAGTTTGAACCGCCCAGATAGGCTTCAGCTCTGCTCTTCCTGGGTGGATCCCTTACTTTTCCAGGTGTGGTGGGTGGGTGGGAGCCTTGCCTGTTAGTAGGAACCTCTTTGCTTTGCCTTGAAAACCAAACGGATCTATGTTAACTGAGTTGCCACCCCTTTTTTAAAGCCTAGAAATACTTTTGATGGCAGAGATTTGTGAAGGTGTTGTGTGTTAGACCTGCAAATATGATAATGTTGGTGCTTTAAGGGGTAAGGAATTCTAACCATTTTTTCTGTTGACCAGAGGAAAGCGGCAAAACACCTGAGAGTCTTTTCAGCCCTCTTGGTTTCGGAAAGAGCCGTAGGTTGTGAATGATGAGGAGAAAAGAAACCACTTAATGAAAACTTGAGTTTGCAAAACGCATTTGAGAAAGCACAAAGGGAATTTTATTTTTAAGCCAGTGAAAAGGTGCTTTTTACAGTTGTCTTTTGTTTGTTTGGTTAACTTGCCATTAAGTTAGAGTCTGTTAGAGATAAAGGCCTATGACTCTGCTTCATGTGTTATAATTGGTCTTAAGATTTGTTTGGCTTTGCTTTTTGCACATACATTCTTGCAAATGTACTGATCCCAGATAATTATATAGCCTACTCATCAGTAGCTGAAAAATAGGGTACTCTTCTTTTAAAATGGAATTCAGTATGGAAATTAGGGCTGGTATAGATATTGTTCTAATTGTAGCAAGATGAGTCTTAACGTGTAAGCTGCTCATTGCCTTTAAATTCATACGAACCTTTAATCTTCTGATTTCATAGTCCCTGCCCCCCATTCTTTTTAGACTGCAATACTTCCTTGAATTTTTTTTTACACTGAAGACATTCCTTACAAGATGATTTTGTCTTTGTGAGGTTGTGGCTTGTGGAGGAAACAACTTTTGTTCCCCTTTTCCTTTTCATATAGTCTAGGTGAGGGTTTCAGGAGAAATTTCACATCTAGACCTCAGGATTAAAAGAAGTAGTTGAAAAGAAAGAAAAAAGACAGTGTTCAGTCAGTTGGACCATGGTTCTCATGTCCAGTTCTTTAGTTTTCCTTTGAAATGCTTTTCTGGGGAGGTTTCTTGGTGGGTCTTTGGAGGGTTGGTCTGTTGCTGGCAGAGTGTCTGTTTCTCGCTCAACCTTTAGGGGGAGGAATGAGAGTCTGAAGGAGGAGTACAAAGGCAGTTTGAAAATAGGTTCTGGATGACTGGTGGTAATCTGGGTCCGGCTTTGAAACTGGGCTTTGTGTAGCTAGGTTGAACAACAGTAGAGGCCAGGACTATTTTTACATATTAAGGCATTGTTTGACCTGCCGTGTGATATAGAGCCTTTTGAGGTGATAAGATGGAAGATTTTTATCTTTTACTTCACCTCCCCTGGTTCTTTCAGGAATTAATAGGAAAGGGTACAGATAAATAATCTTTTATTTTGCTATTATTACTATTTGCTGTGCTTTGTATTTTGATTTTGGGGTAAAAATGATGACAAATGAGTATGAATAGTACAGGTTTTCTTTCCTTGTTTGCTTTGTATTAATTTGCTTAGTTTCTTTGTTACGTGAGGTAGTGGTCTGTTTCAGGTGTGTGTGGGGCGTCTCATGGCTGGTTATAGTTCCAGTGCCTTTCTTAGGTTTCCAGTATGAACAGCCAGAGGGGTCAGAACATGTTCTGTGCTGCTCTAAAATTGGGACTCTTGGAGATCTTAAAAAAAAAAAAAAAAGAAAGCTTCCTATAATTACATCCCAGCCTTAGGTTTATCAAATAGTTGGCTTTCTTAAGGATGAATGAGACAGGATGCAGGCAAATAAATTCAGCCTGGGTCAGTATCAATTGCACTAGCAAAATATTTTGCTTTGTACAATTTCTGGTTTTCTATTATGGTAGGAGATGGCCCTCTGTTAATACCGTCTAGGTCCTCCGTCCCCTGTTCTCCCTCTCATTGTTTTATTGTGTGCTAAGCATTTTGCACAGACTACCTAATTTCTAATAATCACTTTTTTTTCAAAGAATTTGGGACTCAGACGCTGAGATTTGCTGAACATCTCACTATCTAAATGAATTAATCCTGGTCTGATTGACTACAAAGTCAATGGATTTAACCAGGGATACACTGCCATTACCCAGAGAGAATGGACATAACAGCTGGAACTAAAACCAATGAAGCCTTGCTACAGGCAGGAGTGTTTTAGTCGTTACTTAACAGAGACTAAGTTGGAATGATATATGTAAAAGACCAGTTGTTTCCTTAGGGAGAGGGAGCGCTGAGTATGCTGACATAGATATTATTTTAGCTCTAAAAGCAGGGATCAAATCATATGCAGGCCACTGCTGTCCCACTATTCTCTTTTTTTCTTTCCTTTTGCAGTGTTGGGGTTTGAACTCAGGGTCTCACACAGCCTAGGCAAGTGCTCATCACCAGTTCTACTTTATGCATTATTTATTTTGGGACAGGGTTTCTTTATGTAACCCCAGTTGTCCTTGAATTCTCTGTGTAGACTAGGCTGGCCTTGAACTCAGAGACCTGCCTGCCTCTGCCTCCCTAATTCTGGGACTAAAGGTGTGAACCACTATTGCCGGCTGCTTTATTCATTTTTAACTTTTGGGAATTGCCTCAACCTTCATTTGCTTATTAGTGAAACTTTCTCTTCCATAGACTTTTCAGCTCTTTGGGTTGAATGATACCACCTTCTAATGACAGGCTTGTAGGAGGTAGTTCTAATAAATGTTTTACGTATCCATTAAATATATCATACTGTATTAAAAATTATGTCTTTCACTTTAGAATGTGAGCTGCTTGTGAGTAGGTACTGTCTTATCTCTATCCCTTTATTGCCTATCTGTGTCTGCTACAAATTGAGTTGCTCAATAAATCTTGTTTAATTAAGGTACTTGATGGGAATTAGTGAGGAGTGAGAAGGCTTAAGACAGGAAGCAAGCGGGACGGTGGTAGCGCATGCCTTTAATCCCAGCACTAGGGAGGCAGAGGCAGGCAGATCTCTGTGAGTTCAAGGCCTGCCTGATCTACAAGAGCTAGTTCCAGGACAGCTTCCAAAGCCACAGAGAAACTGTCCTGAAAGACCAAAAAAAAAAAAAAAAAAAAAGACAGGAAGCAAAACAACATGGATTAATTACATTTTTGACACTTTCACTGTAGCTCGCAGTTTAATCTTTCATTCATTCATATATATATATATATATATATGCATGCTCTGTAGACCAGGCTGGTCTTGAACTCACAGAGACCCGCCTGACCCGCCTGCCTCTGCCTCCCGAGTACTGGGACCAAGGGCATGCACCACCACCGCCAGGCTCATATTTTTGTTTACATTTATATCATTGTGTGAATGGGGGAGGGGCAAGCACCTGTTCCTCCTTAGGCAGGTGTGTGGAATTTGGGGATGTGGAGGGTTTGTTCTCTTTGTGTGGATTCTAGGAATTGAACTCCAGTGTTTACACTTGGTGGCACATGCCTTTATCCACTGAGACATTTCACCAATCCTAACTTTTTTTTGGGGGGGGGTCTCATTTGGCTGAGGTTGGCCTAAACTACAATGTAGCTGAGGATTGCCTTGTACTTGTGACCCCTTCTGACCCTCCTGCCTCTTCTTTCTGAATGTTGGTACTATAGACATGTGTTGTCACAGCTAGCTTCTAAACAGTTTCTGGAAATAGTGGAAGATTTTAAGGTTTAGCTTTTCTTGGCAATCAGTCTAAAAAACAGTGTAAGAAGTATGGTGCATTTCATAGCTTAGGCAGCTATTGCCTTCAGTCAGTGGAAACTAGCAACATGTCCATTTTCTGGGGAGAAATGTGGGCAGCAGCAAGGAAGGACATTTTCAGTCCTGCTTGGATCAGTGGTTTATACACCACTACTAACAAAAACACAAAGCGCTTGGGATGATAGTTTTAGACACAAGTGCTTCAAAGAAATGTGTTTGATATTATTTTCTCCCTCCCCCAAGTCCCATTTTGAGACAGTCTCCTGTAACTCGGCCGATCTTTAACCCCTGATCTCTCTGTCTCTGCCTCCCAGGTGCTGTAATCACAGGTGTAGGCTACCACACCTGGTCTTTTATCATGTGTCCTTTTTTGCTAGCTCTGTGTATGTGTATAGGGCTAGCATAGGATAACACACACTGGAAGCAGTTCTCCTGCCTCAGTGTCACTTTGTGTTGTGACCAGAATGTGAGCTATCACACTTGGCAGCCATTATTATTACTATGATTACTGTATTAATCACCCTTACAGCCATGGAGCTGTATTAGAAAGTCTCCAACGCCACAGAGAAACCCTGTCTTGAAAAACAAAACAACAAAAAAAACCCCAAAAAACAAAAAAGAAAAAGGAGGGGTGGGGAGAATTAAAGTATGAGTGATTTTTATTTAGTTGTGTAATTATTATTATTAATACATTTTTTTTTGGTTCT